ATCTCCTCCTCCTCCTTCTGCTCCTCCTCCTTCTCCTCCTCCTCCTCCTCCTTCTGCTCCTCCTCCTCCTCCTCCTCCTCCTCCTCCTCCTCCTCCTCCTCCTCCTCCTCCCTCTTTCCTTATGGCGCCCGCAGGAGCTGGGCCTGGTCACCCTCTTCCAGCTGGACCTCGCCAACGGCACCCGCGCGGCCTACCCGCCGCAGGCCGCGCAGCGGCAGAAGGTGGCCGGGCTGGCGCCCAGGGGCGTCATGGCCACGAAGGTGTCGGGGCGATCGAAACGGACACGGAAAGAAGGGGTACGATGCCCAGCAGCAGTTCCTGTTCCTTTTGAAGGAGGAGGAGGAGGAGAAGGGGAGAACGATGACGAGGACGAGGACGAGGAGGATGAGAAGATGAGGAGGAGGAGGAGGAGGAGGATGAGGAGAGGAGGAGGAGGAGGATGAGGAAGAGGAGAGAGGAGGAGAAGGAGGAGGAGGAGGAGGATCAGGGGAGGGAGGAGGAGGAGAGGAGGAGGAGGAGGAGGGGAGGAGGAGAGAGATGGGAGGAGGAGGAGGAGTCGGATGATGAAGATTATGGAGGGAGTTCGACGAGGAAACCATGATTGGTGGTGGGGTGACATAGGAGTGGAGTAGGTTGATGATGAGGAGAGGAGGATGAGGATGATGAGAAGGAATAGGCGTGAGGTGAAGGATTAGGAGTATTATTACGGCTATTAGTAGAGAGGTAATGAGTAGTGATTACGGAGAAGGGGAAGGGATGAGGATTGATTATTGAGTGAGTCAGTGTCGGAGGTAGTAGGAGGGAGGATGAGTAGTGAGGTAGGTAGGCTGGGGAGGAGGAGGAGAAAGGAGGAGGAGGAGGAGTCCGTAGCCATTTTGGCTCAAGGGGCCTTCTCCTCAACTTTCCAACCTCGGCTCGAGTAGCCAAGTGTGCTGCGGGGGGCCACAGCGTCATCCCTTCAGTCGGTGCGCGGGGGCGCGCGGCGATGCCAGCGCATGGCTCTCGTGTCGGGAACTGGGCGTGTGGAGGTTGCGGGTGCAAAGCGAACAGGTACTGGTGGACGTGGTGCAAGCGCTGCGGTCGTCAGTGGTCAGGCCCTGGGAGTGTGCAACCAGCCCAGGCGTGTGCCAAGGGGGTGTGGGGTGGCTCTCAGTCCACTCCTCCTGGTCCTGGTCGTGTGCAGGATCCTGGGAGTTGGTCTTCGCCCTCCTCTACTCCAGGAACTCAGGGGAGTCCTAGCAAAGAGGAGATCCAGTCAGTCATAGAGTTCCTTGAGGCCAATTCTGACTTCGAGGCAGCAGCTAAGTATAAGGACAAGCTTCGCGCCTTCGACCCCCCGCCCAAGTCGCAGTGGGGTCCGGCGAAGCAGGAGATGGAGAGGTATCAGGCAGCGTTGGTCAAGTCGGTGTTCAAGGCCAGTAACCTCCAAACAGCCCTGAACCAGGCTAAGGCAGACAGTGCGGCAGCTTTCCTGGCCCTGGAGACAGCTAAAGCAAACTATGCCACAGCGGTGCAGGAGCTCGCATCCACAGTTCAGCCCCAGCCCCAGCCCCAGCCCCAGCCCCAGCAGCCAGGCAAGCCGACCCTGTCCCTGGAACTACTTCTGGCTGGTTGTCTTGAGGGGTTCAGCTGGATGATGGAGGCCTGTTTGGGCTTGAGGAGGTGGGTTGGGAGCCGTCTCAGGAGGAGAGGGCGGAGGCAGCGAGGAGGAAGGAGCAACTCAGTTCGCTTCGGCCTTCAAGGAGGCTGCGGTCCAGGCGTTCAGGGGATTCCGTGAGCAAGCCAGACCAGCTGTGGCCCTGCAGAAAGAGCTCAAAGCACGTCTCGCTGCAAAGAAACGCCGCACAGATGAGGGCAGTTTGGCCAGGGGTGAAGGTGTGCCTGGTGTCGGTGCTGATCCTGGGCCCCCCATCAGACCCAGCAGCAACAGCAGCAGCCCAAGCCCCAGCAGCACCCCCAGCTACCCCTCTGCCTCAGACCCAGGGGCCCCCAAGTCCACTGAGGAACTCTTTCGGGCTGCCTGCGCCTTTGCCTCGAAGGGCGCAGGTAAGGCGGGAGGCAAGAGGGGAGGGGGGGCAGAGGCGGCAGGAGGAGGCAGCAGCAGCAGCAGGGCAGACGGCGGCGGCGGCACCGGCAGGAGCGAGGACCGCGGACGGAGGGGCCGGTCAAGGCCCCCAGCAGCGGCTTTGACCGCGCCGCGGGAGGCGGGAGGCCCGCCGCCGCAGCGGCGGCAGATGGGTTCGAGAAGGATGAGGTAGTGACTGTGCTGGCCGCCAACACCAGTGACTGGTGCAACTGTCAGAAGTTTTCGAGAAGGAGGCCGCAGGCGCGGCCGCTGTCCTTGTGCAGGGGATATGAGTGAGCCCCCCCGCCAAGGATGAGTGTGAGGCCAAACTGAGACTTTGGGCATGGCCGACCAAACTCAGTCCTAGTAGACCAACTGAGGCGGGGGGGCTGTCTTCTGGATTTGGGATTGCAGTGCAGTGCCCACGCACGTGGGGATGTCTCAGGCGCCGTTGCAAGGACCTCCTCTTCCCTCGGCGCCGCGGGTCACGGTGGCTTGGGCCAGCAGTATTGTGCCAGGAGGTTGTTTGGCGATTTCGATTTATCTTCTGGCTGGAGACCCGCTCGGGGATATTGGATCGCATGTTCTGTTTCGTCGTCGAAGTGCTCCAGGCCCTCCGTTTGCCTTATGTCATAGAAGGAGACTGGAACAGCCCTCCTGCCCCGCTCTGCCGTTTCGGCTGGGCGGGTAGGCTGGGAGGTCATATTGCATCGCCAAGAGAGGCTGCGTGCAGGAAGGGTAAGACATGGAGGGAGCTACACTATGTTGTTGTGCCATCGGGGCTGGCGCCGTACATCGTCTCGGTCGATGTTGTCCATGACGCCGCCATCACCCCGCACTACCATGTCGCGCTCCAGTTGAAGTCTCGCCTGGTCCGCACCGTGTACCCCGTGCTGTCAGGTCCCGCGGGGTTCCCCTTAGAGGCCCCTGCTCTCCCACTGCCAGGGCCGCTAGACTGGGGCCCCGTTGAGGACGCGATCCTGCGGCGCGGGGGGGGGGGGGGCGCAGGGGGCAGCGGGCAGCAGGGGCTGGACAAAAGGGAGTGGCGTGTTATTTGATCTCGTTGAGGCGGAGTTGATTGCAGCTCACGGCCTACACGGGGCCATATGAATGCAGGCATCGAGGTCGAGGTAGAGGTTGGATGATGAAGACTGCGCCTGAACTCCAGGCCAGTGGTTGGCCGCATGCTCTGTCTTGCGTCAAGGCTAGAGGATGGAGGAAGGTTTCGATCAGGTTCCTGGAGCTTGCTTATGTCGTGCGCCGTGAGGGCGGCCGTGTCCCACAGCATTGCATGGGTTTGATCTCCAGGATTGTGTTTAATATGCTTCCCGATGAAGACCTGGGTTTCTGAGCTAGATGGTGCCCCGCCTTCGAGGGCATCCTGGCTTTGCCTGCAGATCAGTTGGGGGCCCACTCGTGCGAGGCCGCCTACATTACCTCGCTTTCGGGGCAAGCCTTCGCCAGGCCGCGAGGCTCGGCGTGGGGGATATGGGTCTCAGATGCTTGTGGCAAGGGGGCTGGGGTGGCCCACCGCTTCGCGAAGAATCCTGTTGGCTGGCGCCCCTCGGCCGTGGGCCCCGAGTGGGCCCCGCTGGGGTTGGGAGCTCAGGTGGGCGCCTCGCAGCAGGAATGGGGTCAGATTTGGGGAGTGCCTGCCGCCGCGAAGGACGCTTCCTACAGTGGGGGCCCGACGACCGCTGATGACCCCGCGGCGTCTATTGCCGCGATGCTGGGAGGTGAAGGCATCGACCCGCTGGAGGCTGCTAGTATTGCGCCCTCTGGTGCTCGCGCCATCCGCAGGGTCGCCAGGCCGTTCAAGGAGCGCACGGCAGCGGGAGTCGACCGGTTGAGCCCGCGTGATCTTTCCTGTTTTTCGGACTGCTGCCTCGCCATCCTTGGGCTCTCGTGGCATTGGATGCTCGACGCGGGTCGTGTCCCCTCCCGGGCCCCCTTCATCATGCTTGCTATGTTGGAGGAGCCTGAGGGCGGCTTCAGACCCATCGGTTTGCTGGCCGCGTTCATCAGAGTGCGGGCTCGTGCTGCTCGGTCGGTCACTCGTGATTAGGAGTTGCCGCATGAGTGAGACTATCTGTATGGATGTTCGGGCATGTCATGTGAACGTGGGGTCTGGGACCAGGCCTTCGCTGCAGAACTGGCTCGGGCTACTGGGACATGCTCTAGTGGGGAAGGTTTGATTTTTTCGAGGGCCTACGAGCGCGTGGTGCATGGCAGATTGATCGACACAGCTAAGGCTTGGAATGCCCACTTAGATTTCTGGAGGCTCTTGATTTGTCTTTGCAGGTGCCCTCGTCTGCTAGCGGTTGGCCAAGCTGCATCTTCCCCTCTCATCGTGCTCCGGACGGTTGTTGCAGGGTGTGGGTTTGCTACGACTTTGCTCAAGCCACTGCTGATGACGACGCTTGATAGCGTGGTGCACGCATCCCCGAATGCACGAGTGTGCAATGTCGTAGATGACATCGCGCTTGGGATCCGTGGCACGGTTCAGTTCGTGACGGCGCACCTCCCGTCTGTAGTGGGATATGCGTGCAGATTGTTGGAGTCGCCGGATTTGGTCGTAGCCAGGGCCAAGGGCAGAATTGCGTCCACGCATCAGTCTGTGGCTGTGAAAACTCGGGGTCTCAAGAAGCGGGGCTCCTCGGTGGCCTCGGTGGCCAGGAATCTCGGCGTCGGCCTCTCCCTGGGGAGGTCCCGCAGACACCCCGCGCAGCGGGCCAGTGTGAGCAGGCCCCGCAAGAGGGCTCATAGATTCCGAGGGCCCCGCTCTTCCTTTGCCAAGTTGACCAGGGTTGTCCGTGCAGGAGGTAATCCTGCAGGACTATGCGGGGCCTCTGTCGGGCCGCACCCCCAAGCAGTTGCGCGCCTCGGTAGGGGAGTCGATCTTCGGGGAGGCCAAGGGCAGGAGTAGGACCATCGGCTTCATGCTGTCGCCTACGCCCCTGTCCGATCCAACTTTCGCTGCCAACTCTGCCCCTCTTGCCTCCTGGGCGGCAGCTGTTAGACATGGGTGGGCCTCCGAGAGGGACATGGCCTTGGTGTTCGAGTGGCCAAGCAAGGAAGGTTGGCCCGCCTGGCAGCAGGTTAACGGCCCCACAGCGGCTTGGCCGGCTACGCTTCGCAGGCTTGGCTGGACCCCGCTCCGCTGGAACTGTTGGGGGGCGTCTTCTGGGCTCGTGGTTGACTTGCAGGGGCGCGGGTCCAGGGCTGTCAAGGCTCTGGTGGCTGCGGGGGCCAAGGGTGCACTTCTTCGGGATCTGAGCCTCCAAGGCGAGGCGGTAGGTGCTAGTGATGCGCCCGTGTGCCCGTGCCTGGAACCGCTCCGTGCGGCGTGCCGAGATTTCCGCGCTTCGGGCATGGCCCTGGAGGCCTCTCTCCTCGCTGCTGTGGCGTCAGGAGGAATGGCTAGCCAGGTGGATCTTCCCTTGGGCCGCCGATCGATTTCGACGGGGTGTAAGTCGCGCGGGCACCCGTGGGGCTCCACGCAGCCTAGGTGTTACATTTGTCCTGCCACGCGCTGGTTTAGGCAGAATCTGGGGTTCGAGCGTTTGGTCTGAGCTGGTGCCCGTGCTGCGTCGGCTAGGTGGCGCCTGTTTTACACTAGTGGCCTCATGGCGCACCCGACCAGGTTCTCTCCAAGGCCCGTGGTGCAGGGGCCTTGGAGGTGGCATGTTTTTTCCCGAGGTCTGGCCAGCTGGTCGGCATGATCTGCTTGGGCGGCTCCGCTCTTGACCCCGCTCTTCCGTGGTGCTCTCGAGCTGGGTGGTCCGCGGCTTCGATGACTCCGACTGGCCAGATCCTAGGTCGTATGTACGGCCCTTTTCCGCACCCCTTGCAGACTTGTCTCGGGGGGGGGAGCTTTGGGCGCTTTACATGGTCCTGCTCAATGCGGACGTGGGGCGTCTGGAAGTTTGGGCTGGTTCCAAGGTGCGGATCGACGTTTGGAGCTTTGGCCCAGACCAAGATGCGTCGCGTCTGACGCTTGCTGAGGCTTGAGAGGAAGTCTTGGCCAAAGCTCGAGATATAGGCTGGAACCAGATCCATCTGTCCAGGATCGAATCTCATCTGTCCTGGAGCCAGCCGTCTGCCCAGGTGTGCCCATTTTACGCATTGGTGGGGGGGGGGGGGAACCAGGAGGCCGATCGTCTCGCGAAGGAAAGGGCCCTGCTGCAAGAGCAGCCGGACCTGCTCCGCAGCTGGCACAGCTTCAGGATGGAAGGAATTAAGCAGCTAGGTGCGTTTCTTGGATTTGTGTTGGGAGAGCTGTCTCGGGGGGGCCTCAAGGATGTCGAGCGCTGTAAGGACAGTGCCAAGGCTCTGAAGGCCCCCCGAGATGCCCCCGCGCTGGAATTAATGGCCAGCCCCAACGGGCACGCGATCTGTAGAGAGGGGAAGAGTTTGGTTTGTGCGTGTTGTGCGGCGCATCTCTGGATGGGCTCCGGACCTTCGGGGACGGTGGTGTGGTGTCGAAGATGCGCGGCGTTCGGGGTTGTCCGCTTACGCTGCTTGAAAGACAGGTACAATCAGCACCCCCGCATTTCTTGGGCTGAAGAGTCCCTTGCCATGCTCCTTGCGGGCATGGACCCCAGCTCGAGGCCGGTGATCGGTCGAAGTATCCTGGTCCAGCGCTGGAGGTAATGTTCCTCGGCGCGGGTCTGATGCATCGCGCTGCCCTCGACCCATTATTCCTTCTTGCCTTGGGTCTTGCACTGCGGGATCCGTGTGGTTGGTGAAACTAGTGGAACAGGAGGGGGAGGAGCTGAGGAGGAGGAGGAAGAGGAAAAGGAGGAGGAGGAGGGGCAACAGTTCCTTTTCCTTTTGAGCAGGGCTCTCTGCGCCGTCGCGGACGTTGTCCATTTGCTGTGGAAGGCGTGGCGTTCCCACACCTAGAGTCCATGGATGTCCTGAGGTCTCAGGGTTGAGTTTCTCGTGGAAGGTTCCTTGTGGTCGGGCCTCCACTGTACGGAAAAAAAGTGCACGATACCCGACACCAGTTCCTGGTCCTTTTGAACAGGACTCGCTGTCCGCGCCGCCGCGGACGTTGTCAATTTGAAGACAAAAAGCCGCCCGCCCAACAGCGGCCGCTGGCCGCTGTCGGTTTGGGACAATATTGGTCGTTGGGCATTGTACCCATTTTTTTCCGCATCCATGTCGGGCGGCCACGAGGTGGAATTGCCCGTGGGCAGCTACCTGAAGCGGGTGGCCGCGTACTCCGAGGCTCGACGAAACAAATGCCTCCTCATAGCTCGTGACGGTCCGCGCGGGTCTCTGGGATCTGCGCTGGGCCCCCCTGGCGGTGCCTCCGGTGTGGCCCCTGGCGCGCTCCGCGCGCCAGGGAGGAGGTCCAGCGCAGATCCAAGACATCCGCGTGGACCGTCGAAGTTTGTGTTTGGTTATGTCTTCCTCCAGAGGCGGACGGCTGGCGCTGCGTGGGGTTCGATCTCCAGCTGCGCTCTGGCCTCGTCCACTCGCAGTGCTGCGACGCGAGAGGGTGCTTAAGAAGTAAGCCGCCAGGGTCCACTAACCACCCAGACATCCTGCGTCTCTAAGACATCGAGACGGAAGTTTTCCATCGCTTTCGGCCTCTCGGGGCCTTCCCCGGGCCTCGGGACCTCACCGGTCCTGGGGAAGTGGTCGACAAGTCGGAGGCCCGTGTTTTAGAACATCGAGGTGCTGGAGGGCATGGCAGCAGGTGTCAGGTCCATCGACACCTAACACCAGGTCAGTTGAAACACCCGGTCAGCATGCTCTGGGCAGTTGTCAGGAGGGGGAAAAGCACAGACACAATGACTTGTCGACTCCCAGGAAAATATAGGAAACTATGGGAAGTGGAAGGGGGGGAAGACGAAAAACACAGAAAATATGGGAAAATATTGGGATCCAAGGATTTGTGTCTATTTGTGTGTCCCTGGGCCCCTTCAATTGCTTCGAAAGGTGCGGGCCCTTCGACTGCTGTGGCCAGTCCGGCTGGCCGGGACCCGCCCGCACAGACCACGTGGCGCCCGAGGGCTACCAGATCGTGGGGCTGCAGATGGAGGAGAGATGGGGCCTTTTTTCCACCACCACTACCATATGTAGGGCGAAGATGGGGAGGTCCTCCTCTAACTTGTTTGTTATAATCCTTCTAATAATTGATCCTAATACATCACTCGTACTAATAAATCATTCCTGCCTCTCAATCCTCCTCCTCCTCCTACTCCTCCTACCTCCTTCCTCATCCGCCTCCTCCTCTCTCATTATACTCCTTCATCCTCCTCATCCTCATCCATATCCTTGTCCCCTCCTTCATCACTACTCCTCATTCCTACTAGCTACCTCCCTCCGCCTCCTCTCCTCCTAATCCCCCTCCCCCTCCTCCTCAATCTCACTCTTCTCCTTCTCGCCTCCTCTACTCTACCTTTCCCTTACCTCCTCCTCCTCCTCCTCCCTCTACTTCCCCCTCCTCCTCCCCTTCCTCCTCCTCCTCTTCCTCCTCCTCCTCCTCCCCCCCCTCTCCGCCTCATCCTCCCTCCTCCTCCTCCTCTCCTCCCCCCGTTTTTTCCTCCTCCTCTCCTCCTCCTCCTACCTCCTCCTCCTCCTCCTCCTGATCCTCCTCCTGTCCTCATCCTCCTCCTCCTCCTTCTCCTCCTCCTCCTTCCTCTTTCTCCTCCCATCCTCCTCCTGCTCTCCTCCTCCCCCTCCTCGCCTCTCCCTCCTTCTCCTCCTACTATTCCCTCCTCTTCCCTCCTCATTATCCTCCCCTCCCATCCTCATACTCCTCCCCCTCCTCTCGCATCCTTCTCCCCTCTCCTCCTCTTCATACCTCCTTTCTCCTCCTATCCCCCTCCTCTCTCCTCATCGTCCTCCTGCCTCCTCCTCCTCCTCCCCTCTACTCCTCCTCCTCCTCCTCCTCCTCCTCCTCCTCCTCTCTCCCACCTATGATAGCGGTGGTGGACCATCGGCCCGTCAAGGAGGGCAACCTCACGTACGTGCCCAGGGGGCTGGTGCTGGCACCCTTGGGCCTCCCGGCCCCTCCTGGGCCCCCTCCAGGACCTGGGGGAGGATAACTACACGGATCCACCTCGCCCCTCCCTCCATAAATTTGGGACAGCAAGAGGCCATGGTGATGTTGTTGATGATGATGCTGCTGCAGCTGCTGATGATGATGCTGCTGATGATGGCGATGATGATGAGGATGATGCTGATGATGATGGTGATGATGATGGTGATGATGATGCTGATGCTGCTGATGATGACTGGTGAGGATGGTGCCGGTGATGATGGTGATGATGATGGTGATGCTCTTGATGATACGTTTGCAGATGTCCTGGACGACAACGCTCTCGTCCTACTGATTAAGGTCCCCCCTCCTCAGCAAGAAGAGGAAGACGATCAGAGGAAGGGTGGTGCTTGGGGAAGAAGGAGGTGGACCCGCAGATCTGCCTTGTCATCTGACGTCGCTAACAACCTGCAGTATCGTGAAAAGTTCACGCCCCCATCTTTCTGCGGTCTTTTTCGAGCCGGATCGACATGTGCTGGCCCCGAGGCCCGAAGCCAAAGTCAACAACTCGGCCGGCGCGCGAAAAACATGCGAGGCAAGGATCTCCGGGTGCTCCTCCTCGTCCTCCTCCTCCTCCTCCTCCTCCTCCTCCTCTTCCTCCTCCTCCTCCTCCTCCTCCCCCTCCTCCTCCTCCTCCTTCTCCTCCTCCTGCTCCTCCTCCTCCTCCTCCTTCTCCTCCTCCTCCTCCCTTCTCCTCCTCCCTTCTCCTCCTCCTCCTCCTCCTCATCTCTCCTCATCCTCCTCCTCCTCCTCCTCCTGCTCCTCCCTCCATCCCCCTCCTCCTCATCCTCCTCCTCCTTCCTTCTCCTCCTCCTCCTCCTCTTTATCCTCCTCCTCATCCTCCTCCTCCTCCTTCCTTCCTCCTCCTCCTTTTCACCCTCCTCCTCCTCCTTCCTATCCTCCTGCTTTTTCTTTCTCTTTCTAGCATCCTTTCCTTACTTCTCCTCCTCCTCCTCCTCCTCCTCCTCCTCCCGCCGCGCCTCCTTGCCGCTCTCGTGCCCTCGGCGGGTTTTCACTCCAAGTGGGTTTCTCACGGTCCCGAGACGCGGCGAGTGCCGGCAGAGGCCGCACACACCGGCATTTTCCGTCGTGCTTGCTTGCTTCCACCACGCGAGCACGCCTGGGTGAGGACCCGCCGCGTTCCTCGCCGCCTTCGCGCCCGCGCTGGCCGTCGCCGCCG